CCTCGTGGAATGCGATAATGAGGTCTCCTCCAAGGCACATCCTGAAAGTGAGAGACTCTGCCCTGACGATCAAGGAGGCATGGGAAAAAGTAGCGTACTAGCAGACCAGTGTCATCTAAAAAAATGTCCGTCAGGCGTTAAAAATGTAGAACAAACAATGCGACCCAGCTTCCCTCTTGGTAAACACACGAACTAAAACCTATCTTTGCACAAAACGAAAAGCTTACAGTCTACCGCTAGGTGTGATATGCATAAAACGTCAGCTATGAACGAACCAGCTATTTGAGAATGTCAAAAAATAGTGTTCGAACGGAGCAGACAGGAAGGCAGATTGACACGTGACCTGGCTAGAGGACAAGCCGGAGCTCCGAATGGGACGCCACATTCAAGCGTTTGCGGTCAAAAGAGCGCGGAGAGACCATGAAGGAGTGAAGACAGTTCGACACATCAACAGTCACAACAACAATAACACACACACACACACACCAAAACCGATAACAGTGGCATTGAGAGAGATAGGAAAGGCCTTAGATGAGTAATTATACCATCGACATTCCTGTTGCAACCTCCACCCTTAATCACACACACACACGGAGAGAAGTGGAAGCTATTTTTGGCCACCTAATGATGAATCATAGCATCCACCCTCCCCACCTTTCTCCTTGTTTCCACTAATCAGGCAAGCTAGCTAGTAAACGACCAAGCTATGGAATACCAACACCACAAGTTTCAAAGGTAACTACACATCGTGCACATTTGCAACTGCTGCTGCCACTAGTCACTAAGTCGCTCAATCAAATCTCAGCATATGCCACGAATCATGATGAATGCGTCGACCCACCTTCGTGACTAATGGCCGCAGCTTCAAGAGTACATCGCTATAACGTCAAAAAGGGTGAGTGAATTTGATCAACTACGTTATTACTGGATGAAAAAGTACCACAACACATAATGTGATTATGACAAAAACCTTGAAGATGGTCATGCCTTGTGATGAAAAAGATTAAACCAATTAATGTGTTGTGAAGCCGCGTACCTCCTGCTCTCCTCCTGTCACGAGGGATAAAGACGACTGGCGGGGGAGGCGAGTGATCACGATGGTTAATCAGTTGCTGGTGGTGGTGATGATGGTGGTGCTGCTGGTGGTGATGGTGTTCATGATCCGTGGCTTCGTCATCCGTCTGCTCCCTATCCTGATCTTCATCCTCCTCTGGCAACGAGAACCTGTCTATTGCCAAAGGCGCTGACCTTGGCCTAAAAGAACGGTTCGGGTTGATTGGCATAGCGCCTCGAGACGCAAATTGTTGGAGGTCAGGTAGACGATGAAGTGGTCGCCACAGCCTTGAGACTTCCTGCTGATTAGGTGACTATGACACAAACAGAAAGGAATGTTATCAACAACATGGTGGCTTCCAAGGCAACTCAATATTTGTCCAGAGAACATACCCTGGGAATTGGCGATCGAAATCCGATTGGAGAGGATTGTAATAGCGAGTCCTGGAGACTGGTATCGCTGACCTCGCCTATTGTGCTGCTTCGTGCAATAATATCGGAGAAACCACTGTCTTGTCTACTTCCAATACCTCTGCACACATCCATGGTATCAAGGTCACCAACAAAATGCCTTTCGGCCGATGACATTTGATGAACCTCCGCAAAGCGAGCTCTTTAGTAGGTACACTGCTCTACAAACACATGAATCGACGGACGGATGAGACGCCCTATTTATACCATCCATATCGGCCAATGGTACAAGTGAACTCGGTTAGTCATACCCTTCCGAGCCTCCTATTGGTCAAGGTGCATGTATTGGCCTGCTATAACCAATCAGTGCCCACCTGTGCATGCAAATGCAACGAGCAAGTAGTTTGCATGGCCATTGCGATTTATGCCTAGCTGGAACCGTTGAAATAAACAATCATGATGCCGTGGCGGGGTAGACATGGCGATTAAGTAGACTACACTGATCAAGGGAAGGGTAAAACGGTTGCTCCCAGGGTTTGTACTTCTGCACCCACAAGGAGGGAATGGAAGAGGGTACAAACGCATTATTGTTATATGTTGCGAAAGACTGGTCATCCCTAGCAATGCCTTTGCGAAGACGCAACAGGGGATGGATTCGTGGGAAATGAATTCAAAACTACTTACGCTTTGTTTTAAAAAATCAGTGTCTATTTTATGAATCTCGGAGTTATACTTAGGGTGAATGGAAAATTGTGAAAGAGGATGCTTAGCTCCTAGTGCACTTTTAGATTGGCTGAACCACTTTGAAAGCTTTTAAGTGCACCAACAACCAATAAGAATAAATCAGGATTTTTGATCAAATTTTAATGCAATTAGAAGAAAGCTTAAGGCATAAATACGTCTTTTATTTAGGCATTACAATTCCTCAGCTCACTACAAGTCCTCCATAGGATTAAAGGCCTTCAAACTCAATAATCGTCTTGCCAATAATACATTCATGAGGCCTTGCATAAAAGAGGAGATCTAAGATAGACAAAAATAGCTACCTGATTCTGCTCCTTGTAGTTTCTTTCCTCTAGTGCTTAGACACCCTTGCACGGGCTCCTTCCATCAGCTTTGGTTCTACGCGTTTTAAAAAAATATATAAAACATTTTCTCATCCCCCTTTTGTAATGTCAGTAGTACTTTTGTAATAGCCCATGCTTTACAAAAAGAGTATCCTTTTGTGCATTTTGGAAGAATTTTAATTAAAATTACGTAAAGCCAACTGCTTCATTTGTAAGAAGGGCAAATCGCCCGATTGTGCCTAGAGTATCTTGATAGCTGCGAACTTCAACACCTTGATTCAATTATCGATTGAAAAAATCGATAACCAGGGTAGAACAACAGCTGTGATACTAAAGCAAAGCTATGCGAATGTTTAAAGACATAAAAATTTAAGTTTTTATCTTAAAATGATTTTTATTGACGCTTAAAATGCACACGAAATGCACATCTTAAGTGCTGCATTGTAATCATCTGTCACTGTGAAAAGAGGATAGGGGAGGAACATCCCCTAATTATATCATCTCTTATGAACATAATCAAGTCTCCTTCAATTTGCCTCTGGTGTTGACTTTTTATGCTCCCAATAAAGTGAGTACGTATTGTCATCCTTTAGATACATGCTAAGCAGCAAAGGAACCAAGTGAAAGAGGAGATGCATTAAAACCATAATTAGTGCCCATTTCCGTAGGGTGTCCACCCAAGAGGAAGCGCACTACTTAGTAGGACCTCTGCTGCTACGGACTCCCTGTTCACACGAGTGAAACCCGTTTGATTGGTCGCTTGGTTAGCTAGCTAGCTTGCAGTATCTCAGCTCGCAGTGTCAATGAAGTGACTCACTCAACGCTTGGGTTGTTTCTGGGAGAAGATAAATTAGTCAGGCAACCGTGGAACGTCGACTTGACATCTTCATTAACAATCAAGCGATTGAAGGATGGGCCTTGTGTGAGCAAGTGCATCGAAATCAAAGCTGCCGCATTCCCATGGTCTTGGAGGACTCCATAAACGTTGGTGGTTGCCTTTAGGCTGGAATGCAGTAAAAAAAGCAGACAAGGGGAACAAATTCATGATTCATTACCTTGCTTAGTGTCAAATTTCATCGAGGAGGCTTTTTTTCTGTGTGGATGTGCGTGTATATCACAGCTATATAAGTTTAAAGTCGTCTTAATTCCCAAATAATTAGAGGCAAAGGTGTGGCCACGCAGTACCTTCCAAACCACGGAAGGAGTCATCAGAACTTAGTTTTGAAGGTGTATTGTTATGATTAACAGAATGCTAGGAAACTACTGATGCCGCTAGTGACTTTCGTGATTCTCTATTTCGCCATTCAGCAGGGCGAATTTGTGAAAGAGTAGAGGATAAGTGGAAATTCAAGAAATGACAACTCCATCTGTGACTGTTTTAAACGTAGCAGTCCAAAATGTTGGTGCATTTGCATTTGACAGTCTGGCCCAACCCAATAATCGGCGCTGAAATGCCATTTTTTAAAGTTTCCCAGCAGTCTTATTATTATTGTCAACTCCGGACTCACTGTTGGTCAGGAGAGATGGAAGAGACAAAAAAAAATTACTGCCTCCTCTTGTAAAAACACACCATCGCTTCTTCTCACCCGCTAGTCAAGAGCAAAAAGTTGTTTTTAGCATTCAGCGTGCTCTAACTCGTCAAGGTTGTCAACGTTTTACAAGTGATTATACACGCCGTTGTCGCAAAAATGATCCACCTCATAGTCATTTCCATGGTAAGTAATGTGTGAGTAACCCTGCGTTGACAGTTGACAATAAAGGAGTTGGTTGGCAACATTTAATATGGTCGAGGGATCAACAAGCACACGGACCTCTATCTTGCGCCCATGAGCATTCAACTGACGTGGTAGGCTTGATGTCCCTCTCCAGGTCCGAGTTTCATGTCTCTGACCTGTCAGGTGGTTTAATCATCGGTCGCCGCTTCATTGACGTGATCAACCGCATGCATTGGTTGGCCGGTGGGTGACACTTGACATGGTCGTTGATAAAATGACACCGGACACCACCCGCCGGCCATACTCCCCTTCCACTTTTGGAAAGTACAAAGTCCAGTTTAAATTGAAGACGACTGAGCGGTCCCTTGACAGTGCTTTTCCGTTTCGGCCATCACCTGAGTGGTCAAAAAGTGACTATAAAATGATTTAGTCCACCATTGGGAGGCAAAATTGGAGCAGATTTGAATACCAGCTAATCCTGGTGGTATGTCATTAAACGAGGCAGACTTACAGCCAAACCGAGTTTTATCAAAGCTGCAATATCCTTGATTTTGGAGTGAAGCACTGGAAGACTTGATGTAAAACCTCAATCTACCAATCCTGTTCCTATGGAGAAGAATTTCTTGAACAGAATATAGTGAGGCAGGAATGTAATTTATCACCCTTGGGTTTCGAATAAAAACGGAGCTACAAGTGGTAGCAAGCTTTGTGATGGCCTATGCAGAACTAGCGAAAAGGGAGATCATTTTCTCGCCATCGAGTGGTCCGTGAATGCTAGAAGTAATAACTGTTTGGCGTTGGGTATAAGGGGAGTTTAAAGTAGGAGATGACTTGGTTCGATAGAGCATTCCACTCTAATAACAAAGTCGGCTAATTTGTTATACCTTCACTTCCACCCAATCACTGTGACGCCTCCTCGCATAAGCAAATGATGATCTCAACCTCAGCATTGTCCACATGTCAAAGTAGAAGAAGAAGGGGATAGATATTAAGAACTATCAACTCTGCCCAACCCTCACGCCCTACCAACTCACTATTCCCTCACGGCAGGCCACAGTGAAGGTGGAATAATGGTTCACTCTTCAGACCACCAAACTATTATCATTGAAGTAAG